AACTTTGGAATATTACTAATTTTGTGATGCTCTTTCAAGCTGTGATGAAATTTTTGTCTAGATCAAAATTTAGTCTATAATGCAAATGGTCCATTGGAGGATTTGAAATGACATCTCATGCGAATAAATCACTATTTAATTAACTTTGATCCAGTCCAAGGACTGAATTAATTTTGATTCAGTCCTAGGACAGGATCAATGTACTTCATCAGGTATCCAGCATTATCGTGTGTGAGCAAAATAAAGTAATATGGTTGGCTAATTTACTCATGCCGGAATCATTAATGAGTTTGAGATATATACAGGTATATCTGCCTCCTCCGCAGACACTAACTCTTTGGCAAAAGTATCAAGAATAACAGCGAATTTAAAGTTAGGGAATCACAAATAAATGTTGTGAAATTTCGTTGCGTAAGCACTTTAAGTGTCATCTATAGCTACCAAGGGCAAGGACTTTCCTATATTGACCAGTGAAAGCGCTTGACGTTAGCCGCAGTAAAATATATGACAAGTTTCCGGCAATTATTTTATCTTCAACTTATATTTTTAGGTGAGAGTCCTCAGCGCAATTTTCGGATGTCTGGATGAACCAAAGTTGGCGGCAACCGCTTGTAAAGTGTACCTTAAAGAACTGAACGCCATGCCATTTATTTCCAAATTGTTTTCCAAACATTTCAGAGAAATTAACAAGGTCAATGATACTTACGATCCATTGTTGTCCCTTGTGACATTTATCAATTATTTTGTGTTTAATTGCACTGAAACGTTAGTCAGAAAAGTTCTTCATGAGAGCAATTGGCCAAGATTCGTGATGTCTAAAACGCTTTCTCTTCATCCAATTCGAAGCGTCGGATTGCGTGCGTTTATTGAGGAAAAAGAAGAATCGAAAAATGGCATCGAACCTGAATCAATTTCGTTCAGTGAGCCGATAGACGCAACTCACATGGCTGTAAACAGCGCGGGGGCATTTATCGTTGCAGGCTTTGATGGCAGTAAAAATACCGTAGTTTATGTCTACAATAACAATGGAGAATTTCAATTTGCCGTCTCACCGAGCGAGGAAGAGTTAAGCGGAAACGAATTTCATCCATGCGCAGTTTTCACCGATGAAAAGGATAATATTTATGTTTACACGAAAGCAGTTACAAAAGCGAGCCAGGGAGCAGAAGAAGCCGCATCTTTGTTCCTTTTTAGCAAAGAGGGCCGTTTACAACAACTCGTTTCAGTTGAACGTGGTTTTATGGCTTTGGAAAAGGAAACAGGGAAGATATTCATTTCAAACAAGAAAGGCGTTTTGGTTTACGAAAGTAGTGGTGAATTGCTGCGCACTTTCGCCGCACCTGAAGCGCTACAGGGTTCAGCCTGTCCACTAGCACTGTGTGATGAAAATACAATCATTCAGACGGATATCCATGACTCGAATATCTACCTCCAAACCGATACCGGTACAGAAATCCGACAATTCCAAATCAAAGAAGCGAGAGGATGGAAATACATTGCGTTTAATCCTATCAGTGGTGAAATCGTTGTCTCTTATCTGTCCGAAGATCTAACGAAATTTCAGCTCAACGCTTATCTTAAAAATGGGCAACTTTTAGGAAGAATTGATTTGCCAAGTTCTTACGCATCTCATCCGCGGTCTGTGACTGTCACACCACGTGGTCGCATTGCTATTCTTTACGAAAATATTGTGCATTTAATCTGAAGCAATGTGGAGTACTTTCCCCGCAAATGAAAACATATTTGACCGTGGATTTCAGTCCAGTACAGTGTTTTGTAGTTTTTAAATCACGACAATATTTTTTGGGATTTTTATGCATGTTTTTACCGTTAATTTTGAATTCAATGATAAGTTATAATAGACTATATATGACATGGTGAAATTAACAGTAGGCAGGAATCAAACCTGCAGCAATTAGGGCTTTTATAAAACCTTGACCGATAGAAGTACTACTGTAAAACATGAGCAGCCGATCGGCTTTATCTGATATACAAACTCGAGCCGTAGCCAAAGGCGAGAGTTTGTATCTGATGAGTATATCAGATATAAAGATCGGATGCGAATGGTTTAAGTGAAATTAGTAGATTATAAGTGTTCTACGGTGATTTTCACGAATTCAACAATTGGCAGGAGTCAAACCAGCGCCACTGCCAAAGGGCTTTTATAAAACCTTGATATAGGTGAAATTAGCAAATTGTAATTAGACTTACAGTGATTTAATATTATCTTAATAAACTAAACTCGGACTTTGATGTTGAGCGTCCAAGGAGACGGAAATCTATTTGCATGAAATACCCTTGAGCAATATCACCTGCTGCTCTGGTGTTAAATAGCGCCGACCTGGTTTGCATGTAAGTGGTTAATGGTTCCAATTAGTGATGATGGTGGCAGCGGTAAAATTTGAACCTCGCAAATAATTTTGATAGTGTAGTGTTTATTCTTGCATGTTTATATTGTAAAATACGTCTTGTAAGGACTAAAGTCTGGTGTAAAATGGCTGCAATCCTTTGGGGGTTCAAATCTGAACCTCACAAATAATTTCACAGTAGTGCATAGTTATGTATTTATTTTTACATGTTTTATATAGTGTATAAAGGTATAGGCCTGAAAATCAGTATTGCGTTGTCCAGTTTGTAGTACAAGTCCGTAATCAAATGGTCGTGTGTAGTTACTGTTAGATGGATGAACTTAGTATGGGATTCTAGTTCTGTTGTCCAATCTTTCAATCGTAGCTGTATTTTTTATATAATATGATTGTATTTAATAAGATATGATGATTCGGCCCCAAATGGACCATTCCCCAATTAACCAAAATTTTGATCTCAACAAGTCTAGACAAAATTCCATCATAGCATGAAAGAGCATCACAAAATTAGTAATATTCCAAAGTTTCGTTGCGACTGAATGTTGTAAAACGCGGATAAATATACTATAGCTAGGGACGCCGGAACGATAATAAGGCAA